CTCATTCCTCCCACCCCTCTTCCTCCACCCCCAGCATGCCTGTCATCCCCACTCCCGGGCCTTTTCTCCTGGGACCAGCCCGCCAGCCTCTCTCGGGCCCTCCTCCCCTCCTCGGACTACGCCCTGCCTTCCTTCTCCCGCCCCCTGCGCGTCTCCACCTAGTCTTCCATCTGCATCTTACCTCCTCCCTAAGCGCGCACATCTCCTCTCCTCGTTTTCTTCTTCCTTTCCTGCTAACCCCATAATGTGGATCCCGTCCAAGGGGGCCTTCTCACAGCCGCCCCCCTTGCTGAAGGTGTGTTTGCCGCATCTCCCCATTCGGCACCAGCCCCTCTTCTCTCTGTTGGCCCTCAGCCTGTCTGGACCCCTGCCCTCCCGGCGTGTGCCTCCCCCTTCCCCTGAAACACATGAGCCTTTGATGCAAGACCAGCTGTGGGTGCAGCAGAGCACAGAGCGTGACCAGAAGGAATCTAGGTCTGCGAAGGCGAAGGGAGCTACCCGAAGGCGAAGGCGGTGGCTCAGTAGCTAAAGCGGGTGAGATGCTGATCTGACTCTCCCTCCTCCTGGGAATTAACGCCACAGGTGTCTAGGACCACGCAGACCCCTACTCTCTCACCTCAGCTGGGGTTTGCTGCTGCCCTGGGGTCCTCTTCATCATCTTCTGCTGTTGCCCCATTGCCGCCCCCACCCCCTCCTGGATAATGCTGCAAAGCTTTCCCACCCTCCTGCCGCCAGCCTGGAGCCCGGCTCTGCTCTCTGGCTGTGCGGCGTCCTGGTTCCCACCCGGCCCGTTCCACACCCAGTTGAGGGTTTTGAAGGGACTTGAGTACGGGGAGGTCAGCTCAACCATCCTGAAGTCCACTCAGCCCAGCACTGCTCTACCCGGGTCTCCAGAAAGCAGCATTGCTGTCTCTGACAGGGAGGAGGCCGCCTAAAGGAGAGAATCGCTGAACACTGGGCAAGGGGAGCCTGGGAACACCAGAAAGACGGTGGCTTCGTCTTGCAGTTACAGCTCTCATCTCTAAAGGACTCCCGTTAAAGAGACCCAACGCCTTCCCTTGGGCCGGCATTGCAGGGGGGTCCTTGTGGGAATGTTGACCATGTTTTCACACAGCCCAGAGGACCGTACGAGGAGTGAAAATGAGTGGGTCCTCAGGGGCCCAGCTGGCTCTGGGGTAGATGCCCTAAGGACCGAGCTATCTGGGGCAGCAGCCTCACTAGCGGCCGCAGATGATGGGAGCCCAGAAGTCCCTGGTCCTGGGGTAGGAGCTGCTGGGGGATTCTCTCCGGGATCTTTTGCATCTGTCCCTAAACCCACAATAACAGGACTTTGAGGAAGGCCATCTCTATTTCCCCAGAATTACTGATTAGGGCCCAAACTAGGAAAAAGGATGCTAAGTATCCCATATCCTAAAGAGCGACAGCTGGACCCTGACGCCCTCCCCCAAGAGGACATAATACTTGAAACATTTCTGCAACTGGCCACCCTTCCCCATCCCAATCCAGTAGAGAAGGCTGGGGGAGAGAGAGGAGGGAGAGGGCCAGGAATCACTGCACTTCTTCTCCCGCTCTCCGTGAAGCTGGAGAAGCAGGGAGACTCAGAGAGAACTGCTTCTGGAGAGTGAGACCTGCCAAAGGTCCGACACCACATTTTGCGTCTGTGATGAAGCCGACTTGCAAGGCAGGGGAGAGGCAGCGCCCAGACAGGAGGCACCGAGGCCTACCTTGCACTGGCGCAATGATGCGCGCGTTTTTCATGGGTGAAGGGACACCCCCGAAGGGACCCAGGCACGAGCCATGTCACAGACACAAAACCAAAGGCAGGCTCCTTAGTACGAAGTGGGCGTGGGGAATCCTGGTGTGGAGAAGTACAGAAGAGGTCAAGTCAGGGCTGGATTTCCCACAGAAAGGCCCGATGCGGTGGGGAGGCCCCACTCTAGGACGTGCCGTGGCCCCCCTACGAGAGCCAGCATTGGGGCACCTACCACACGGCTAATCGGAGAGGCCTCCACAGCGAACAGAGGGGAACACGGCTGTTGTCAAAGTTTCCGCTCTCTCCACGGCCCCATCACTCAGAAGAGCTGAGTCATGAGAAAGCAGAGGAGGGGCTGTCTCAGAGCGTGGCCGTAGCCCTGATCTCCTCCCAGCAGTCAGGGTGACGGCTCAAGAGTGTGCCAGGGCAGGGGGGTGGGGGGAGAAGGGTCTAGATCAAGCTGAAGACTGACATTTGTAGCGGGCAGAACTGAGCTTATAAAGAAGCGAAGTAACCAAGAAGTTGTGGTGAGGCACCCGCTGCGCCGTGGAAGGAAGCTACAGAAAATAGTGTCCACAGAGGAAACAACCTTCATGTTTGTCCCCCGGGTCCTGAGATTCCTCAATCAACTACCGCCCCCCAGTCACCTGGGTCTTCCGACCCTCTCGGACTTCTCAAGCACTGCAGAGCTTGGTCATAGAGCTGCAGCTTCTGGGTGGGGGTTGAGAGCTCCCAGGAGGGAAGGTGCATTTATACTGTACATAAATGTGATCTGTCAGAGCAATGGACATAAAATGCACCCCGTAAACTGTGAAAAACAAGTCCTGGGGCCCCTGGGTGGCTCAGTCGGTTGAGCATCTAACTTGATTGCAGCTCAGGTCAGGATCCCAGGGTCGTGGCATCAAGCCCTGCATGAGGTTCTGCACTGAGCATGGAGCCTGCTTAGGATTCTCTCTTTCTCTTTCTCTCTCTCTCTCTCTGCCCTTCTCCTCATGCACATGCTCACTCTCTAAAATACAGAAAGAAAAGCAAGTCCTTTTGTTCTTGGGCAATGTAGGGATTGCAAATTTTTAATCAACAGAAAAGAAAACGCAAAGATAATCTACGTTGTGATAGAAACCAGAGTTGTTTGCTAAATATTTCTAATTCTACTCTGGGCACCTACCAGCAAGCATGGGCACATTTGGTGGCAGGCATATAACCAAGGTCATGACCCTTCTCTGTATCAGTTCATGGAAGTCATACCAAGGGGACTGGTGACCCAGGCTGTAGGGGTGAGGGCGTGATTTGGTGGCACTGCACGAGGAAGGTCACGTTTCATGTCCCCACCTGAGCAATGGATAAAAAGGCAAGTGCCACAGGGCAGATGATGGGAGTGCCACAGAGGTCTTCAGCCACACTTGTGGCCTTGTGGGGGTCACTCGGGAACTTGGGAGTAAATGGCCAGATGACCAGCCTGGCTCTCTCTCTGGGATTTTTTCTGAAAGGTGGTGGGCGCTGTCAGCTTCCCAGCCCCCTTGGGCCCCCAGAGGACCAGGGGTGCGTACCCATCTGCAGGCCCCTCCTTCTGATGGTAGTACAAGTCCACATCCTGATTGGAAAGGTCCCCGATCCTTCTCTCCCCACAGAGGCTAGGCATGGCTCGGGAGCCTCTTGGCAAAGGAAGAAATAGAAGGGATCTCTCTTTTCTTTGATGGTCTTCCCGTCCTCGGAGAGAGCAGAGCCCCAGCTGACTGGGGCTGCAGGCTGGCCCCACACCGAGGTGTGAGCTCAGACCTGTCCTCTCCCATGTCACACTGGGTATCTCTGCTGGAGGCTAGGTCTGCCCCAAGTCTCCCACTGACATCCCGTGTGGCCAAATGTCCCCCCACATTTCTCTCCCTCAAACCCCTGACACCTATGAGAGGCCTCTGCAAACCAGTGGGCTTTTAATGAGACTCCAAACTGCTCAGAGAGGGGCGCCAGGGCGGCTCGGTCGGTTAAGCATCTGACTTCAGGTCAGGTCATGATCTCACGGCTCATGAGTTCAAGCCCCACGTCGGGCTCTGTGCTGACAGCTCAGAGCCTGAAGCCTGCTTCAGATTCTGGGTCTCCCTCTCTCTGCCCTTCCCCTGCTCACTCTTTCTCTCTCTCTCTCCCTCAAAAATAGATAAACATTGAAAAAAAATTTTTTTTTAAATTGTAACTGCTCAGAGAAAAACTGCACTCATAGCTGAATGCAAGCACCTGGGGTCTGAGCTGGACGGGAGGGAAGAGGTTGCTATTCTAGCCCTCAAGGAAGGGGTCCAGCAGAGGGTGGGTGCCACCAGCAAGCCACCGGACTCTCAAGACCGAATCCTGTGAAATGGGGACAAAGACTGGTGTGTCACTGGGCTGTGGTGTTAAATACAGGAGGGCCTGTAGACCCGGGGAGTGCTGGAGCCTGGAGCGAGTCTGGAGACACAGTGTCAGCACTAAACCTGTATGATGACATTCAAGGTCCTAGACTCTTTCCCAGGAACACATAGCTGCAGAAAGGGTTAGGGGAGAATTTTCAAGAGGAGTTATCCTCTCTTCACCTGCAAAGGACAACGTGGTGGAGTGAGGCAAAAGAAATCTTGGGAAGGTTCTCGGAGGGTGGCGGGGAAGTCATTTCCAGGGACAGCTGTGCATGGGCAGAGGGGGCGAAAGGAAGAGATGCCAGCGGCATCAGAGAAAATCTAGAGCCTCACCTTGGCTGCCAAGCCCCGCCCTGAAGCCCTCCAGCTGTGAACCAGACTAGCGGCCTCGACCTGAATATGTACCCCCATAAAATTGGAACAGAGGCAGCATGAACCCCTTTGGGGGCTGCACCCTGTCCACAACTGCTTCCCACCTGGGGTCTTGAGATGGGGAATATGGCCAGTGTGCCCACCTCCACCAGCCTGAAGCCACAGAGCAGGCTCCCCCCCCGCCCCACACCCCAGCCCCACCCCCAAGGCACTGCCAGCAACGTTCACTACATTCCAGTGAGGGTTTGTGGGGGTGGCTGTCTGGGGAGGTAAGAGGGAGAACCACAGAGATTGCAAACATGGAAGGCGAGGGCCAGAGGGATGGGTCAATGTCCTCATGGCAAAGCGTGGGGACACCTCGTAGCCACTCGAGGGTTCCCTCCTAGCCCGACAACTCGGACTTAGAGTAAGGGCACTGGGGCCAGGGAAAACCCCAAACGTTGAAGAGAAAGAAACCTTTCCGTCAGAGGAAGCCACCCAAAGAAAGAGGCAGCAGCTACCAAGGTTTACCATTTTTATTTTTTATAAAACAAGCTACAAATAGTCTCCGCCCCCCCTCCTCACAAAGGAAAGCCACACAACGCCGCCTACACGTGTGGGACAGAGCAGATGGCAAGGTTGAGGGGGTGGGTTCTGAATTTCCACAGGGGGGCGCCCTCTCTTTCCTGCTTCCTTCAGGCCCGGGGCGTCCAGGAAGGTCCATGTAGCACACCAAGTCATCTGGTCCAGGCCAGTGGGGGTGGGGGGCTCCCCTTCCTCCCTACCATGCTGGGATAGGGCCTCCAGTCCCCCTGAGATACCTTCCAGGACTTGCTCCGCGAGAGCAAGAACCTTCTCTAGCCTGAGGCCCCGCCAGAGCATGTCCTGAGAAAGCTGCGCTCCCCCTCGCTGGGCCCTCCCTCAGCAGGGCCTTGAGTGGGCCGGTGCTTTATGGTGCCAATGCCTTCCAGACCCCAAATGGGACACACAGTCTGCCATGGCGGGTGCGCTTATGAGAATGCTGGCTGGGATATGAGAGGAGGCCAGATTCCCAAGAGCCATCCGACAGGGGCGTCAGTCTTGGGCTACTCGCTTTCCTTTGACACCACCATGGCGGCCCATGGGAAAAGATGCTAAGTGTCACTTGTTGCTCTCTGACACTGTCTGAATGGGCACAGCCACCGGGGCAGCGGAAGGCTGGACAGCCCACAACGGAATCCCAGGAAAATGTGTGCGGAAAACTAGGTCTGGATTTCCCTCCCTAGCTGGGCTATTATCCCTGCGCTTCTAAAGGAGGCAGAGGCAGGAGGCCCAAGATCAGTTTCGCTCTGGAATTGGCCTTGAGCCTGGGAAGCCTAAGAAGCATCTGGGAGGAACAGGAAGAATCTCAGTATTGGGTTAAAAACCAAAGAAACTACTGAGTTAACAACGAGGTGACTCACTGAGCTCCCCACTCCAGCCTGTGGTAACCACTGAGGTCAGGATGGCAGAGGAGAGAGAAAGGGGGTGAGAAGCCCCGGTCTGACCTTGCTGCTGAGAGAGTCTGTCTCGGGAAGCCTCACTCGTGCATTTGCAGGAGGCTGGCACTGCACTCATCAGTGTGGGCCTTCTGTCCTCTTCCCTCCATCACTTACACATCAAAAATCTACTAAATAGAAGGCCCCACTGTGTGTCGTTTTCTTCTTTGCCTCCCCTCTCATGCTTTACAGAGAGTAGAAGCTGAATGTGGGTGAAAATGTTTCAAGCGGCCTAATGCAAATCATCTGAGGATCGTTTGCGCGGTGGGTCACAAAGATATGGGTGCCGCCACGGATGGAGTCTGGGCTGCCTGACGGTCTGGAGAGCAGGAACACGTGGGCAGGGGGATCTGGAGCCAGGGCTGGCTGTTGCCTGCCCTCTAGGCGCAACTCCCACCTGCCCCCCAGCCTTGCTTGAGAAGGCCAGCCTCCCAGTGATTTGCCAGATCTGACATTAAAGCAGGGGGCAGTGCCCTCCTCTCCCCCAGAAAAGACGCCATGGAGTCTATGATATGTGCACACGCACACAGGGGTCGGTCTCCGGAATGGCTGGGGGTGCAGTTCTGGGTTCTAGGAAGCTGGGTCGTGTGTCCAGAGCCCCATGAGAGCAGGGAAGGGGGTGGAATAAACAAACAGCAATGCCAACACCTGTACAAAAGAACTATACAATTTACATATATATTTATGTACAGTATATAAATCTCTTTCTTCTCAGTCCCAGCAACAAATGCCCTCCCCCGCTCCCCCCAAAAAACCCTCAAAGTTGTCAGTAGCAGATCCAAAAACATACAATAAGAGAATCAACAGTCTTTTTCCCTTTCCTTTTCCCACTGTGGTATTAGATACTGGTGTTTAAAAAATGAAACCAAAAAGAAAACGCGCAAATGAGAGTTATCGAAAGTGCAAACACGGTGGGCACCACTTATGTTACACGGGATGTGGCTGGGCCGGGGGTGGGGGGGTGGGATGGGCGATGGTTAGGTGTCGGATGGTATCGGATGGTCCGTCCTGCCTCCCTGGCCTCTCCACCTGCCCTTTGGTTTTCCGCTCCTTAGACAAGGCGTCCTACTGAGAAGGAAAATAAGCAAGGAGTTAGAGGTAGGTTTACGAGGAACCCAACGATATACGACCATTTCCTCACAAGAGCGGGCTTGTCCACCTGCTGTTAGTTATGGGCTGGCCAGGGCACAGGTGGCCCAGACTCGCGAGAAGCCCATGTTTTACCAGCCCATCCTCTGCCACCACGGGGCACCCCAGTGGGCAAGCGAACAAGTTTGGCCTTCTAGAGAATCAGGCTTTGCCGAGGAAGCAGAGCTGGGGGGTGCGCGCTCTGGATAAACCACACTACTCCCAGATGCCAGCCTTTCAACCTGGGAGTGGCGGGGGGGTGGGGGGGCTTACAGGTGGGGACAGCAGGACCCTTGTCGTGCTAACCAATCTTTCTCTTCGTGTTCTCAGAGGGGAAAAGAAATTGAAAATGGGAGCTGAAGTTACGTGGCCAATTCCTCCGCTCCTGCCATACTACGAATGCTGCATTTAGGGGGCCCGTGGTGAGGACCCCAAAAAGAAGACAACTTACTGCATCAGTTTGGACCTGCTCATTTTCCCTGGGGGAAGCTGCCAACACTACCACCTGCAACAAAGAGAAACCTATGACACTCAAGTGGCCATGGCCCCGAGAACCTGTGTGCCTGAGTGCCTGTCTCCTCCAACCCCCTGAATGAAGAAGGGACCCGAGAAAAACCAGAGGTCGTGTGGCCGTGCTTCCCGTTCTGTGGGTGTTGGTGGCCTTCTTCGGCCTGGGTGAACCCGCCGCTGTCCAGCACCTTTAAACAGAGTCCCTTTTCCATAAGGCCAGGCCCTCGTGGGGGTACTTCTCGGAAATCCTCTCAACTATTAGCTGAGAAGGGCTTTGGTGCACATGGACATTTGCACAACCTTCTTGGGTCCTGGTTCTCCAAGTCACAGAACACGAGAGTTGAGGGAATCTTGGTGGTGACCATCTATCTGGTCCGGCCTCATCATCTGGAAACTGAGGCTTGCAAACAATTGAGTGACTCAGCCAAGGCCCACGTCTCCCTCTGCTAACGCCCACTCTGCCCCATAGGGTGCTGATGGGTCTTGGAGGCTTCTGCAGGGCCCAGGTCTCCTCGAGGAGGAGTGGGAGCTGGGAGGCGGGGGCACCAAGAGCTGGGCCAGCTCTGCGTGACCCCTGGAGGCCACGTGACTTTGTGCCTGGACCTTAACCCCACTGGGTCGGTCTACAGAATGGGATTCGGGGCCACGGCTGGGCTGCCTCTGCTCTGCCTCCGACAGGATTGCCTTGAGGGCTGACTGAATTCATGAAGTGGAGACAGGGCTTTGAAGAGCATGAAATGCTGAGGGGATCCACGCCCACCCGTCTGGTCATGGGCCCCCACAGCTCAATGCCCCCCCCCCCCCCCCCCGGCAGTTATGCTAACATTCCTAAGCTCTGAGAAAGCGACACAACCTGGCGGGGGGTAGGGGGGGGGCGGGAGAGGGGGTTGGGGTAGATGCTGGTCTGTCCGATTTCACAGATGAGGAAACCAGCCGGGAGAGGGAGTGGCGGGCCCAGGGCAGGTGGGAGGGTGGTGACAAGATCCCACCTGCTCTAAGTCCCATCACTCATCCGCCAGGCCCCGCAGCGGCTTCCCTCAGCGTGAGCAGAAAGATCCACACAGAGAAAGAGGGCCCTGGAGACGAGCTGCCTGCCGAGCTCCCCCAGCATCCAGCCCTGGCTTGTGGAGGCTTCCGGCACGACTCTCAATCCCATCACTCGCTCCTCGGGGCAGTTTTCTATGATTGTTATGAAATGACCACATCGTCTGCATTTTATGATGGTGGAACCGAGGCTTGGAGGTGACCCAGCATTTAGGCGGTGAAGCAAACTGGGACCTGGCTACCTTCTCCCAGAACCATGCTGTTAACCACCGAGGAGGGCAGGGGAGAGAAAAAGCCAGAGCCCAGGGCAGGCGGCACCGTTGGGCAACTCCAAGGGAGGGCTGGGACTTTTTTCACATCTGAGGGAACTAGTCTCCACTCTGCCGGCCTCACAGGGCAGCAACAATAATCCTGATGAAGATGTTTTCTAAACTGGGGAAATGCGGTCCCTCAGACCCAAAGCTGCGCCTAAAGCTGCCTGCACTCCCCCAAGCCCCCCCCTCCGGGGAAGCCCCCCACCTGGACTGCAAGCCTCTCTCGGCCCACCAGAGGGCACCACATGACACCAGATGACCCACGCAGGGGCTCATTCTCCACATACCTTCTGCCCAAGTGACTTTTCTGCCACCCTCCAGAGCAGAGTGACCCAGGGACGCTGTCTTCACTACTACCGATTTCTTTTGTGTGTGCGCCACGAACCAAGTCACTGGGCTAAGTTCCTCACGTGCACCATCGTGTTAAATCTTCACTCCCAATCTATGAGGTAGAGCTTATCATCTCCATTTGGCAGACGAGGAAACAGGCTCAGAGATTACGGAGCAAGCAAGTGGCAGGGCTCGGATAAAAGCCAGGTCAGTCTGCCCTCAGAGCCTCTGCTCTGATCCCGCCTCCCGTCCCACCTCCCCTATGCCTCTCACTACTGCTCCCTTCTCCCACAGGCACTGCCTGCTTGGAAGCAAAGGGTCTCCCCCACGCTGAGTCTGCTGGTGGCACCCTGCCCCCGCAGCCTCTACTCCTGCTCCCGTCACCCCCAGCTGGACCTGCGCCCCTACGTTTCCGGACTCAACACTGGTCTTGTCTCCCTTGGCCTTCCTCAGGCAAGCAAGACTGGCTTGCGCACACAAGGGACCACTTCAAACACTCTGGGGTCCTTCTCATGGAGGGGGCAGCACTCTGGCCTGGGATCCCTGAGGCTGGGTCCAAGGGCCAGCCATGATGCTACCTCCCATGTGCCCTCTGACCTCAAGCAATGTGCTATTCCTCTCTAGGCTCGTCTAGACTCCTGGTCTAGACTCCTGCAAAATGGGTGGAGGGCGCACACGCACAGACACGTACTTACATACGTTCGCAGACACACACACACACACACACACACACACACGTACAGACATGCACACCTGCATGCACATGCACAGACCTCATACGCGCACACTCAGATGCACACACAGACACATGCACACACACGTACAGACATGCACACCTGCATGCACATGCACAGACCTCAGACGCACACACTCAGATGCGCCCACAGACACATGCACACACACACACACACACACACAAACATGCTCGCAGGGACACTCACGGACATGCCTATGCACGACACACACACAGACACACACACACACATGTACCACAGCCAAACTTTCAGCCAGGCGGTGCGTTCAGGGGTCAGCGGTGGCCCCAGAGCCCTCAGGCCTCTCCCCGTCCCACTTCCGGGGTGAGGAGCTCAGGAGGGGGGCGTCGAAAGTGTTGGGCGTGGAAGGATGGGGCTGCAATCTGGGGGCCTCCCTGGGCAAAACTGTGAGGGTACCTTGAAATTAAAGCCTGTCCTCAGCTGAGTCTGGCTCGAGGAAGAGCGGTGCTCCCTAAATATCACAATCCAGGTGACAGGGTTCCTGGGTGCTCCCCTCAGGCGCTGTGTCTGAGCCAGGACCGGCAGACACCAGAGCCTGGCAAGGCCTCAGAGAAAAGCCAGGAAGCCCCTCTCTGCTCTGCAGCCAAGAGGTCACCACACTCGGCCTCCCCTTGGCATCTATGTGCTGCGTAGACCAGAGGGGACTGAGGGCAGAGTCATTACAGACCCCTGTGGGTCCATCCCTTCCCGGTCCTTACATGTTCCTGGGTGGGCCTCGGGTCTACACTAACCCTGGGTGGTCTCTTTCCAATACTGGTCCTCTGCCTATGCTCTGAAAAATGGGCACAAACTGCACGGGTGACAGAGAGTGATGTCACCACAGGCAAGCCCCTCATCCATCCATTCACTCGCCCAACAAGGATCTGATGGCGCCATGCACCATGCCGAGGGGTAGAACCGACGTGACAAAATCCAGGGCTCCGCAAGGGAGTCAGAAAAGCCAGCTGCAGTACAGTGTGAGAAGTGCTGCTGACTGAGCCAACAGTCTTAAGAACAGTAATGCTGAACTTGGATTCAGTTCCTTCACTGTTTCGGGCACTGGGATAAATGTTTTCACTCCCTGTCCCACTGAGTCAGTACAACAGTCCCATGAGGTAGATATCATGGTTGTTCCCATTTTACAGATGAAGACACTAAAAGCCAGAGTGGTTGCATGATTTGTATTTGGTGAAGGAGCTAGTCTGTGGCAGAGGCAGGGTTTGAGTCAGGACATTGCACTGTGTCCTGGGGACCCAGGGTATTATGGGAACACAAGAGGCACCCTCAATCAGACAGGAGCACCCAGTGCCAGGAGCTCACTTGCCCAGGGTCGCATGCCTCAGAGTCAGGGCCAGAACCAAGCTCTGGGTGGGCGGGGCGGGGGGGTGGAGGAGGGGGGAGGGGTAAGGGGGCAGGTTGCTGAGACAGGTACCTGGCAGTAATTCATCCACTTCCTGTGCTATCCTTCGTGTTCGCTGAGAGTTATGAACCAGGTAAAGCCCTTATGTTTTCTCCCTGGGAAATCTCAGCTTTTTTCAAAGCTTCCATTTCAAATAAACTGGTGTCACCCAGATTGGCATCTTCAACCCTGACCCTTCGCCCGCACTAGAGAAACACTCATCCTTCGGATGCATCCAACTTGACATGTCCTATCCATACTGGCTGTCTTCCCCAGCCCCCTACACCTGCTCTGTTCTTTCTTCCATGTTGCCCAGCTCAGTGAACAGACCCACCCTCCAGTTGCCCAAAGCAACCTCCATCCCTATATCCACTCGGTCCCCAGAACTGTGGCTCTAGCCTTCTCAAAGCCACTCACACTGTGCTTTCATTGACTCAAGCCTCTGTCACCTCCTGCCACAGTGTCCCGTGGGGACTTTGCCTTGCCCACGTGCTAGCCATTTCCCACAATGCAGCCAGGATGCACTTTTGAAGCAAAACCCAATCCTATCCTTTCTCAGACTGAACCCCTTCAATAGCTCTCCACTGTCCTTATGAAGTTGAGACCCCCTCTTACCTTCTGTCACCCCCCAGCTCCTGCCACCTTTAAGTACGCATTTCAGTCCCACCAACATCTTTCAGTTCCTCTGAAACTGTCCCTCACCTCTACATGGTCACTGTAAGCTGTAGCTCAGAACACTCCTCCTTCTGCTGACCCCTTGCCGAGGCCATCTCCTACCCATTCCTCAGATATCAGTTTAGATCAGGGGCTGGCAAGCATATCTGTGGAGGACTAGGTAGCAGATATTTTAGGCTCTGCAGTCCATGTACAATCTATCATTTATTCTTCTTCTTGGAAAATTACATCCTTTGAGAAATATAAAAACCATCCTTGGCTCACAAGCCATGCAAAAATAGGCCATAGACTAGATTGAGCCCGTGACCCATGGCTGGTTTAGACGTTGCTTCCTTCACAAAGTTCTCCGAGGCTGTCTGCCCCTAAGCTAATTTAAGTGTCCCTACATATGTTCCTACAACACTCTGCACTTGCTCTATCATACAGAGATTATTAGCTTTCCACCAGAATCCATGTTCTCCTCCTCTTCCTGGGCTCCCAGCCTTCTTTACTATTGGCTGGGATCAGGTAGTTCCAGCCACTAGGAACTATGAGAGGTAATGTGTGTCACTTCCTGGACTGGAGCATAAACCCCACCCCACCCCACCCCCATATGCACTCCTCCATGCTTTGCTCCCTCTGGTCGACTTAGAATGGAAATGACCTCCAGGGTGACCTTGGAAGCCACCTAATAAAGATGGCAGAGTCATTCTTAGCCAAGACAGATCTCAGAGTGACTGCACAGAACAATCTCCATTGTATTTCTCCCCTTGTGCGCGCGTGCGTGCGCGCACACACACACACACACACCCACACACACACACACACACACACGATGACCTGGAATCATGCTGAACTATTACATGGGCAAGATGAACAAATTTCTCCTGTGTTGAGCCATTACATGTGTGGGTCTACTTGTCACTGCAGCCTGGCCTATCCTAATACACTCTCATAGCACTTACCACAGTATACATAAATACTTAAAGATCCACGTCCTTGGCAGACTGTGGAAGGACAGGGACCTTATCCATCAACTGTACCAGGCATCTAGCATAAAGCGTAACACACTCTTCATAAGCAGCTGAATAAATGAGTTTCTGGGATCTCGTCTACTGAGGGAGCCCACGGTCCCAATGCCTGGGTGAGGCAAGCACTGGAAGGTCAGGAGCACCGGAGTGAGCACTCACCTTCTTTGCTAACACCCAGGCAGCCCTTCAGCTCAGGCAGTGAGATGACCTTGTCCTTGTTCAGGTCACAGTAGTCGGTGAAACGCCGGGCACACTTCTTGGGCTTGGCTTTCTTCTTCACGTAACGCTTGAAGGGCTTCATCTCCCGCTTGTTAATGTCATTGCTGCTGTTGCTGTCCAACTGGCTGAAGTACCAGTGCACCACTCGCTCCTCCAGGGTATGGCTGGGATCTGGTTCTGAAAACCTGGGCCACAGGCAGATACCCCCCACCCCCACCCCGGAGAGCACCAGTCAGGATCCTGCAGGAGCAACCGGCCCCACTGTACATCTCTCCCACATGGTCAGATGCCGGGGTGCATGTGCTGAGCCACCGGCAGCCAGGTAGCAAAGGCTCTTCCGAGCCAAAGACCTCCCAGCCCCACTCAGTCTGTAGCAGAATCAAGCCATCCTCTCCAGCTAGACTCTCGAGACTGGATAATTTGTGTCTCAGGGATCCCCAAGTAGGCCACCCTTCTTACACAAACCTGCCTCACCCTCTACCATAGCCAGGAATGTTCTTGGACAAGATGGGTGCTCAAGATACAGTGAATGGATTTAATTCACCCGAGTAAACCACAGCTGGGATCCATGTTGTCCTCCTGGCCTAGGGTTCATTGCCAGACCAGCTGCGGTTCACACATGAACGTGTACACTCAATGAACGTGACTATGGGAAAGAGTGATCTGAGCATGCACACACACCCAACCCCAGGGCAGGTACTGGGACTCATTGCCCCCAGCCTCAAACTGCTCAATGTCTTGTTAAGACCGAGCCAAATACATTGAAATCAGCCAGTGACCATTCAGTGGGAAGTTCCCATGGCCCATCACTGTCAGGCATCAAGTGCAGTAGGAATTGAGAGAAGAAGACGATTGTGATGGACACAAACAGAGCAAGTCTAAAACTGGCAAGTCCCAGACATACTAGGGGTGGGTCTCTCCACGCAGAGATTTTAGGTCTGGAGGTCTGGGATGGACCTAGCAAACCACATGTAAACTAGAACCCCAGGGCTTGCTTAGAAGTGCCACACTATAGCAACCTTAGGCTTCCTGGTGTCAAGGTGCACAGTAAGGACCACGTCTAACACAGCCCATGTATGCATAGTAGACTGTATCTGGCAAGTAGAAACTATCTGGCAAGAAAAATATTCATGGCACTTGCCAACACCTTGGGGTTCACTTAGGTTTGCCGAGTTTTCCAGAAGGTAGGGGACCATCTCTGACTCCACCTTTACGAACGAGCCAGCAAACACCCTTTCCCATCCCCAGGTGACCTCAATGTTGAGGGAAAAAGAAGTTTCATTACCAAAAAAAGCCAAGCATCCCTGCTACATGCCCATTCCTAATTAAGTGGATTGCAGTCTCGGGCAGGCCCCCCTGGGCACTCTGGGCTGATTCCAAGAAAGTACAATTAGTGGGTCTGCCAGCAGGATGTCATCCCGATGGGTTTCGTGCAGGGAGAACCTGGGGAAGGTGTGAGGCACCATGCACCCCTGATTCTTTGGGAATCTGCCTCATCTGCCGTGGAAAGCAGGCTCAGAAGGTCTTTGAAACAGTCATGGAATTATTCATTGCAGAGCTCAGATTTTTGTTTCTGCCCATACATGGTATTTTGGTGTTTCAGAGCTCCCTCTATTTTACCCATAACATTCACTCCCAAGCCTGCAGGGTATACCAGGTGAGCCGCAGAAAATTCTCTATTGAGATGTTCGTGGCGCAGGAGGGAGGGTGGCCAGCTCCCTCTCTGAGCACCCTGCCTCCCTGTGTTTCCCTGAATGTGAGCGAGGGCCTGGGCTGCAGAGGACAGCCCGGAGGAGCCCCGAGGGAGGAACTCTAGCTATTCCCACTGGGGGCTCTCCCTCTGGGCCCCTCCCACCAGAGGCCATAGGAGCCCCATGGCGGCAAAGGCAGATCTTTCTTTAACCTTTAGGCTCAGCATAGCGTCATGTCTGCCTAGAGGCTGGAATAATAAAGCCTCAGTCGCTGAGCCGGGATGAGGTCATCCCGCCCAGCCACCCTGCCAGGAGAGGCCCACTGCCTCCGACACGTGTTGCTGGGGCTCCAGCCTGTCCGGTTCTCCACCGATGGGGCTCCCACGCCGTCCTCTGTGCGGGACCGGAGCGAGAAGCAGCTCTTCCCCCCGCTTTACAACCTCTGGGAGATTCCTCCCCTGCAGAGTGACCATCATCTGGCGTGGCTCCCTCTTCCTTCTTTTCTTCTGACTCTCCCTCCCTGCCCTGTCTCTGTTGTCCACGTGGTCCCGCGCTCCTCACTCCCAGCAGGGTCTCACAGCCACAACCGCTGGCCTGACCCGGCCCTGGAGGTTCCGAGATACTTGCTTCTCCCGGGAGAAGTCCTCTGAGACCCTCCCCCTCCCCCACCCCCCAAGCAGTGCTTCTGGCTCTGCCGCATCCTCAGCCTGCCGGGGTCCTGCCTCTTGCCCCTTCCTCCCCAGCTCATGGAGGGCTCCTTGCTTCGGAATTCCTTTGACTTCCAGAAACCCACCATCCCACCTCCATTCCTAACAACAGAGCCCAGCTCTATCCGTGACTCTGGCAGCACTAGGGTCCTACTTTGGAACCCAATACTTAGCGCAGGCCAAGCTCTAAGTACATTTAAAGCGAGAATTTCTTAGCCTTGAGGGCTCACAGACGCTTCTGAGAACCTAAACAAAGCTATAGTCTTCTCTGGAAAAGTACACATGCACGTAGCGCTGTGCTGACTTTCAGGGTTTAATGGACTCGATAAACCTCATCCAAGCTCATGGACTCAGATAAAGAACCCCTTGATCTATAGGGAAGGAGACTCCAGCCGTGGGCCCAGAACACAGTTTAACCATGAGCCTTCTGGAAGAAGATGGGGTGAGAAAAGGGACGGTAGCTGGAGGGGTTTAGGGATAGCTTCCACATTTCCAACAAAACATAATAGAAAACTACTGAAGGCATTCAGTTTAAAACTCTGAAGATCGGGTTTCTGAGGTTGCCACAACCTCCAGTCCCCGCCATACTTCATACAAGATCGAGTTAGCACTGAGCTGTACCAGGCGTCTGGGCTTAGTCACACCAGCAGTGGGCATGCATGTGCAAAAGAGCTGAGAGGCCTCAGCTGGTTAAGGAGAAGCTGAGATTTTCCCAGGGGAGCGCCTGATGGGGGGCGGGGGGGGCAAAAGACCTCCCCCAGAGTTTCCAGGAATCTCTCGAGCAGTTTCATTAGAGCCCTTTCCACCACAGTGAGACGCCCCAAAATTTACCCCTGCCCTCAAAGCCATACCCCACTGATCCTTCCAGCTCCTGCGGCCTTCTAGAAGTATCCTTTAAAACACTGGGAACCCGCACTCCCAGATCTAGACTTCCTTCCACTGGCATCCGACCTCCAACCTTTCTCTCACATGTGTACACACACCCCTGCTGGAGATCGGCACTGTTGGAATTCAAATCTGCTCATCAGGCAAGGGCTGGGAACCCTACATCAGAGGCTGCAATGGTCCCTTAAATCACCTAACAGCGCTGGTCCATGCCATGGGCCTCCCTACAGGTGAGGTTCCACTCTACTAAAAGGGCTCACTGGGTGTGTAGAGTTTTCCAAGAGTCCTTGGAGATGGTGTGGCAAGTCACACCCAAATGATACTGAATTCTGGATTTGGGAAAAACAAATCCAAAGACTGGTGTCAGCTCTGTCTCTGGGCTGTTTTGGTGGCTGTCCTGTTGACTCTGGCCTCCGGGGCTGAGGAAAGACGCTAGGGCCACACTGCGTGTTCGCCCAAGTTAAGAGGTGACAGGTGCTGCCCTGCTTCTGCCACACTCTCAGTTCTGCTTCCGCAGCCTCACCCAGCCAGGCCTTGGCTGCAATGCACAGTGGGAAAGCCAGCCCGTTTGCCACAAGAAAACTTGCTTTGGCCAGGATCTTGGGCCTTGTTCTGCTGTCCCAAGCAGTTTTAAAGAAGGTGAGGCGGGACGGCCTGGAAGCACGAGCCAAGCCCAGCAGACCAACTGTGCCCCATCTGGAGCGGCGCCCAAGCCCTGCCAGCTGTGCGGGGGGGTGGGGCTGGGAAACGCCGAGTCAGCCATATTCCAGCCAGGCTTTGCCTTACAAGGCCATCGACGAGTAACCGCGTGGGGCAGGAAGGAGGAAGCCACGGTACATACAGATGGTCTCTCCGTGGAGGACCGCATGAGGGGCCAGACAGCTCACGCAGCCCATCCCACCTCTCCGGAAAGCTGACTTTCTCTGGGGCAAGACGGAGAAAGGAGAGGGCTCCCCTACTTGAGAAGACTCTGCCAGCTGGGATCACAGAACTCTTCCTTTGGGTCTGATAAATGCTAACGGGGGCCACAGGACGGCTACCTAAGGAGGAGCTCAGCTCCTAGAGCCCTGGTAAGAAGGACCATGAGGATAACTCAATCATCCTGGAAACCTTCATTGAGAACTGCTATCCTCGAATGATACTTGCAGGCTGCCCCTCCCATGTACAGATGTTGCTATGGACACCCCATCCTACTTTGCCTATTCTTAGATTTGGGCAGCACCACTTACCCCCTTCCCAGCCCCTCAAATGAGGCTGGAAGCCCAGAAAAGGAAGCAGACATCTCTCTCCCTGCCATGTCCTATAACTAATAAGTCTTCAAATCTGATTACTTTCACTGAGAAAGCTTCAGAAAACCATCCCTTCCCCCATAGCTGTAGCGCGGCTCCTCTTCACCTATCGCTCTGATGATGGCTGGAACCCTCCCAGTCCGTCTTGCTCTCTTCCCATCCGGCTTCCCTACAGCCTTCAGGATGAGTCTTCAAAAATGCTCATGGAGGGGCGCCTGGGTGGCTTAGTCGGTTAAGCATCCGACTTTCGCTTAGGTCATGATCTCGTGGTTCGTGGGTTCGAGCCCCGCGTCGGGCTCTGTGCTGACTGCCAGCCCAGAGCCTGGAGCCTGTTTCAGAGTCTGTGACTCCCTCTCTCTCTGACCCTCCCCCACTCACGCTGTCTCTCTCTCTCTTTCCTATAAATAAATTAAAAAAGTAAAAAAAAATGCTCATGGAGCGCCTGGGTGGCTCAGTCGGTTAAATGTCCAACTTTGGCTTGGCTCATGATCTCATAGTTCAGGAGTTCGAGCCCTGCGTCGGGCTCTGTGCTGACAGTTCAGAGCCTGGAGCCTGCTTCTGATTCTGTGTCTCCCTCTCTCTCTCTCTGTCCTTCCCCCCACCCCCCTCTCTCTCTCTTTCTCTCTCAAAAATAAATAAATGTTAAAAAAAAAAAAAGAAAAGCTCATCTAATCGTCCTGCCCTTGGTGTGGATTACAAGGCCTGGTGTGATCTGGTCTCTGCCCAAATCTACAGCCTCCCCTTCTGCCTGCCTCCCAGATTTAAGGCATACAACTTGCACAGGCCCAGCCTCATGGCCCCAGGGTCCTCTTTGCCCTGGTCTATCTGGGTTGGGGCATTTGTCCTTTGAAGATGCCACTCAGATGAAGTATCATTTCGTATATAAAGCCTTCCCCCACATGCCCTCCTGCCCCTGAAGCCCTTTAGCGCTCTCTGCCTCTATTACTCCACTTATTTCATAGTGCAATCTTGTGATATATACCTCTTCTCTTGAACAGATTGGAAACCCCTCCAGTTTAGGGACCATGCCTTTGTGCCCGTATATCCCCAGAACCCAACCCAGAGCTTATACCAGGGAAAAATGGAAATGTAAGAGTTTGTGCGAAGCCATAATCTCTAGGCCTGACGGGTATCTAGGTTGGGGGGGGAAGACATGACTTCTTTGTCCCTACTGGCCCCACTGATGTCCAGCTTTGAATTGCTAGACGCTGAGAGGATGTAGGAGCGATCAGATGTGCCTTCCCTGATTTCAGTCTTCTGTGTCTACAATCCCAATTCTGCTTGAATTCAGAGCAGAGGCCAAAACCCAAGAAGCCTGGATTCCCGAATTTTCTTCAACGGCCCTACTCTAGCTGTGCTCTCCGGCCTCCAGCTGCCCTGTGCCTTTGCTCTTTCATCATAGAAGAGTGCCTGTCCAGGGTCTCTCCATATGTTGCCCCAAGTCTCTCGGGCCCATCCAGGGTGGTGTAGGGACAAAGAAGGACCATGGTGAATCTGATGGCTGGATTTGGCCTCACGGTCTTTCAGTAGTTTGTGAAGCCTCTGCTGTCACCTCTGATGTGTGCCAGGATAAAGAGGCCTTATCAAGATGTGTTCCTCTGTATCACATAGGGATCTATCCATCTATCTACCCATCCCTCTCGCTGTTTATTCACTCAGCAAATATTTATCGCACCTCTCCTATGTGCCAAGGATTATTCTGAGTTCTAGGAGCACAGCAGGGAGGAAGATACTGCTCCTTCTCCATAGAACTTAAATTTTCATTAAATGGAGAGAGCCAGACAATAAATAAACAAAGCAGCAAAATACCAGCTAGTGTAAGTGCCCGGCTGAGAAATTAAAAAGAAGTGTGGTGGTAGATGGCGACTGGCCGCCCCTTTAGATTGGTTGGTTGCTAAGAAGGTGACATTTAAATGGACCATCAGGGCCGGTCACCGGAGGCTGGGGCCTCCTGTTCCAGACTGCCGCAGCGGCTGGCATGGAGGTCCTGGGGCAGGCAGGGCCCGGGAGGGTTCTTCAAGGCCCGTTTGAGGGACTGAGGACCAGCAGCTGGAGCGCAGTGACGGAGAGAGGACACGGCCAGCGAGACCCTCCTGTGGGGCCAGGTCAGGGGAGAGCTACAGCTCAAATCCTGGAGAGCCTGGTGCCCCTGGTCGTGGCCTCCCCGTGCAAGTGCTTCCCTCTCTTTCTTCCTGCGTTCCTCAACCCCTGCCCACCCCCCACCCCGTCCCCAACCCTCTTCCTGGATTTCTAAACTATTTCTTGGTTCATACGACGTGTCTTCTGATTACACGTCCAGACTCTAGGTGACAGTTACCAAATGCATTACTCATTCCCGTCAACAGCAAACACAGTTTGGGCATTCGTATGAGCTTAACGTGAAAAATATGTTTAGGAAAGAATACGTTTTTAATCTTCTCCCAGCTCTAAGTTACACCTAAAAGAGAGGGGTTTTAAAAAGAAAAAAGAAAAATCTCTTCCCTAAGGTCACGTTGGTATTAAAAACATTTTAACTTCTTGGGTTTTATTTTCTGTAAAGATGCTGGCAGCCTGTGATTTGAGGGCGAGGCATCAGCCCTCATGCCCCCTGGCCAGGGGAGGGACCCTACCTGTGCCCTCGGCCTCCGGGGGCCCCTCACCCACTGGCCCAGGACCCAACCAGGTCTGGTAGTTTCCAGGCACCTTCAATCTGCCTAGGGCCGAGCCAGGCCATGCTCAAGGGCTGGGCTCCCGAGGAAGCAAGTGGAACAAACTTGAAGTCTTATCTTCTCAGGAGTGCAGACAAAGCACCAGATGGGCCGCCTAAGTGGCTGGTCAGAGCCAGCAGCCCCGGGCAGCTGTGGGTGGAAAGCACCCAGACCTGGAAGTTTTGTTGGTTTTTAATTTTTTTTTAATGTTTATTTATTTCTGAGAGAGAGAGAGAGAGAGAGAGAGAGAGTGTAAGTAGAGGAGGGGCAGAGAGGGAGACACAGAATCCGAAACAGCTCACGTTGGGCTCTGTGCTGACAGCTCAGAACCTGACACTGGGCTCCAACTCGCAGACTGTGAGATCATGACCTGGGCTGAAGTTGGACACTTAACCGACTGAGCCACCCATGCGCCCCTGGACTGGAAGTTTTAAGCCCATGTCCCTCCCATTTACTTTTTCCATTTTCTTCTTCTTCTTTTTAATGTTTATTTATTTTTGAGAGACAGAGACACAGAGTGCGAGCAGGGGAGGGGCAGAGAGAGGGGGAGACACAGAATCCGAAGCAGGCTCCAGGCTCCGAGATGTCAGCACAGAGCCCAACGCGAGCTCAAACTCACAAAGCACGAGATCATGACCTGCGCTGAAGCCAGGACACTTAACCGACTGAGTCACCCAGGACCCCTCCATTTTCTTCTAATAAATATCTCATCCCCATTTTTGCATGAAACAACAGGCATTTTTTCATATTCCAAGCATGAATAACAAAGGCAATAAGTATGCTTCTCTTCTTGGAGAAACGGGTACAGTCCTCTCTATTTTAGATGCCCCGTCGCTGAACACCGGCGGCTGCCTCCAAGCTGTCCCCATCTGCCAGCCTATCGGACCCCGTCTCCACCTTCTCAGACTCGGTGCTGCGCTCCCCTAGGGGAGGCCTGATGCTGCCCACAGGGTGTGCAAACCCAGACACCAGCCTGAGCTCCCGTGGGGCTGCTGAGAGGAAACGCGCCAGACCAGCACGTTCCAAGAGCGGCAACAGGGAGGCAGCCTCTGTGCTCACTTGGAAGGGACCTAAAACCAGGTTTTCCAGACAGCCAGCCTCATCTGCCACGGGATGCAGCATCACTGAGCTTGCAGTGCTGGCTCCTTAGCTACACACACAGCCTGTGCTCCTGCTGATCGCCAGCAAGGCGGCTGCGCCAGGACCTCTCCCCAGGCCTAGGGCCTGGAACTGCCACCAGGGTGGTGCTCCTGGCCTTGCTGATGACAGCTCTGTCTCTGGGCAGATGGGCAGGAACTAGGCCTTGGAGCTCAGGTGTCCATCCCTGCCAAGCTCCACTGCTGTAGGAGCCCAACAACCCCCCTATGCACCCCCCCCCATGCACCCCTGCTGTCCTCCCCTCTGGTTTCCTGGTCCCTGGCTGTCTCTTCTGTCTCAACCGGTGTGGCTCTCCTCTCCTCTCCTCCTCACCCCACCCGCCCCAGCCCAGCCACACTGGGCTATGGATGCGAAGCTTCTTGGAGCCATAGTGTTCTTTCCATTCTCCTGGGGTGGTTTTCCTTCTTTCACTGGCTGAGTCCTACTTGTCTTTCAAAACTCAGCTTGGCTCTCACCTCCTCCAGGAAGCCTTTTTGATTCCTCCAGACTGAGTTAGTGAACCCTTCTCTGTTCTCCCACCTTGACGGAGAACTTACCACACAATCTGCAAGGGTCCGTTACAGCCTAGTATCCCCTCTAAGCTGCATACTTTGAAGACATGAATGTGCCTCACATCCCTGGATTCCTAGTCCCTAGGCCAGAGCCTGGTGTGCTGTGCACATTCAACAGGTGCTAAATGGGTGGATGGGTGGATGGGCACATTCGTGCGTGCGTGCTCCAACCACTGACCAAATGGGCCCAATTAGCGAGGTCTAGGATGCTGGCCACTGGGTGGGGGTGGGGGGGGGTGCATTTCAGCCTCATGTCAGGACTGCCTCAGCCAGCACCTCAGCTCCTGAACTAAGTTGGATTTGGATATGGCAATGTCCAGTCCCACTGCCCACACCCCTCGGGCTTCTCCGGAAGCCAAATAGGCACATGATTCCTGCCTTCTCAGAAGAGAAGAAAAATCACCAAGTGTTGTGTACTCCCTCCCTGCCCTCCCTGCCCCCGTTACATGCCCTTCCTCCTTCTTGCTATTCGGGACTGTCACCCCAGTGCATTCACTCCTGAGGCTAAGGGGCTGGAAATCTCCAGACACCCTAAACTTGCCTGTAATCAGGTAACTAAAAGGTAGAGAAAAGCAGTTCCCAAAGAACAGGGAGGGGAGAGGGTGGGAAGGCTCTTGGCAGACGGTAAGATCAGCCATTGCCCTATCAACCCCTACCCACTCTCCCAGCCTCCTGAAGCATCCAGAAAGTCAGGGACCCACATCCCCGGTGGGGCCTGCGTCCTGCTCACATTCTCACCTCCCACCTCCAGTGGGCGCTGCCGAGTTAATGGCCTGCACCATGTCCGTGGTGAGGGCATCCAGGAGGCTGGTGATAAATTCCATTTTCTTCCCTTCCGGACAGCCTGAAAGGTAAAGTGAGAGTTGAAGGCAGATCCCAGGGTCCCTGTGATGCCCCGCCTGGCACCCCACTCTCTGTCCCACAGAAGGGGAAGCAGAGCCAGAGGAGGGAGCTGCTTCGGCACCATGGGAGGTAGAAGCACAGGAAGAGGAGAGGGGACCGGCAAGGGGCAGCCTTATCTCCCACCTGGCAGCTCCCTGTCCTTGAAGGGATCGTCCACCTCTGCACTCTTGGCCCTGGCGTCGCTCTCGCAACTGGGCATCACGTAGCTGGGAAGAGAGAAACATCGGGCGTGAGGAAGGGCTGGGACCTGGACAGCCACCCCGTGGTCACTAAGCCTAGAACTCCCGGGGCCAGCAGCTGCCCGGAAATCCCAGCACCCGTGTTCCCACAGAGGCATGTTCAGGCGTGTCATCGTAACTGCTCCAGCAGAGCGGTGTCACCTGAGGTCTGCACCCAGGATCCTTGGGATCCAGAGAACCTAGTGACTCAGGAGGGCAATTGCCTACTGGCCAGTGAACTGAAGTTCAGAGAGGTGACCTACTTTTCCAAGGTCACCTAGCTAAGAGGGGATAGAATTGTGACCAGAATCCAGGACCCAGGTCTTTCGACCAGAACCGAATCTGCTCATGAGCCAAATGTTCTCCTGGTGCCTTGATTCCCACCATGCCAGGCCAGTAACACAGGGAAACATGAGGCTAGCCTAACAGGAAGCTGGTTCTCCTACCCCTCGGTCCACCGAAGGGACAGGACGGGCTTGGGGTGGGGGGTGGAGGGGTGGGGAGCAGAACGGGCTTACCGTGTGGAGGTCCCGGGCAGTGGGCGCCCTGTGTCCACCAGCACACACCAGCAGTAGCCAGTGGACTGGTGACATTGCACTGGCTTGTAGAGCCCCCCGGGGGCGCACTCAGGGATGACAATGCCCTCACGGGGATTCTGCCTGGCCTCTTCCAGGGCGCTCTGCCTCTCCTGGTCACACGAATGGACCTTCTCTGCAAGAGAAGATGCAGCTTGTGGGCACTCTCCCTCCCGTGTCTTATCATCGCTGCTTTCCGAACAACGGTCCAGCCTGTCCCCAAGGAACTGATGGCTGGTGCATCGCCACGGAGAGCTGCAGCTCCCACACCGGGTCTGCAGCTTGGGGAGGGGGGTGGTGGGGGGCGGAGGCCCAGAACCCGCCTGCAGCCTCTGCACTGCCAGCGCTTGTTAGCATTCACACCCAGTGGGCTCCACCACACGACAAGCCAGCCCGGGTCAGCAAGGCTGCTCCTCATCCGAAGAGCGGTTTGGAATTTCCCGACTGTTTTCAGAGTGGCTGCTGCTGATGTCTCCTGGCCCCGTGGAGGCGGAGGTGCAGGAGCCTGACCCGTGCGAGCTGACAAGCTGACGCAGGAAGACGCTCCCCCAGCCCAGACGCAGCAGGACAGAGCCACGGCCGCCAGCCTCGGGGGAGCGATGCTCAGCGCCCAAGAGGGGCAGAGGCAGGGCCCATCCCCACTCCTTCCCGGGCTCCAGCAGGGCCGGGCAAAGGAGGCTTGACAGGCCTGACCGATGACACAACACTGCTCGTCCAGTGGCAGAGAGAAATGCGCACAGGAAGCGTCTGTGCTCCGCAGCCTCGGGCACCAACACAGAGGGCATCCGCACAGCCAAACCTGGTGCCCCTTCGCAGGCCTGGCCCAGTGGGGGCCGAGGCCCCCCCAAGGCCACTGGCCTGAAAATTCCATCCAACGGTCTACCTGCTCGATTTCCCTTTCCTGTTCTGTTGTTGCTGCTGTGTTTTCTTTTGTCTTTTGATATTAAAAAGAAATAGCATTGGGTTTCTTTTCTTGGTATTAAAAATTTTTTTGAAAAACGCATAATCCCACCAAAGCTAAACACTACCTTTCCTAGACCTTTTCTTTTGCACATCCAACCTGAAAGTCTGAAAGTACATAGCAACACATCTATTTGGTTGTTTGGGGGCTTTTTTTTTTTTACAATAAAAGAGATCACATCATAAACCTATACTATTATCTCCTTTGGCCTATTTGTTGACTTTATTATTTCTTTCATGAACACGATTCTACAAGTTTCCTCTTGAAGATGACAGGAATGGTCTTAAGCGTTCCACGGAATTTTCACAGGGTGTTATAAAAATATCATATCAAAACACCCTTCTGAGAGGGGTGCCTGAACGGCTCAGCTGCTCAGGTGACCAACTCTCGATATCAGCTCAGGTCATAATCTCACAGTTCTCAGGTTCAAGGCCCGTGTCAGGCTCCACACTGATGGCATGGAGCCTGCCTGGGATTCCCTCTCTCTGCCCCTCCCTCACTCGTGTGCACAGGTACTCTCTGCCTCTCAAATAAAAAATAAACATTAAAAAAAATTTTAAGATACCATTCTTAGAGACAGGAAGTTGGTATCAGCAACTTAGAGATTCATGCTGCTCATTGAACAGCACAAATGGTCAAAATAACAGCAACTCCAGTCTAAAGGAGCCAAGCCCCTGAATGAATGGCTCTGTTAACGATCCACAAATGAGCAGCACAGATGCTTAAACAAAGCAGGTGTGCCCAGAGACGCAAAGCAGCCCAACGGGGTCTTAGAGAAAAGTCACACAGCAGCGGAAAAGATTCTTTGTTTCACTCCTAGCAGAAAGGTTGAAAAGCAATGGCCCAGTGAGTCTCATTGCAGGGAGAGGCGGATGTTTCCTTAGGGGCATAAAAATATCTAAGGGTCAGGAGGCAGCTAGGCAGAGCACATTCACTATTAAAATATAACTCTGAATTTGGAAAATGAAAAGAATACTACTGTTTCCATAATATAAACACAAAAAATAAACTAAACAGGATCTTCTTGGCTGGAGGAACAGAAGCTTAAAACAGTTGACAGACTTTAGACGAGGGATTCTAAACCTGATTAGAACTACCACCAGGCCAGCCTCTAGAGGCAGCTTAAGTAAGAGACATAAACTGACTGGTTTATCGTAGGCATAAAGCTGGCTTGAAGACCCAGAATCTTGACTTCGGCCCCTGGCTGGGATGGAGCCATGGTCTCTTTCAGGGATTACACAAGAGTTTCTCAATACCTCCCCCGACCCCAATCTGGTTACCTTATTTCCCGACCTCATATTTCATGCCACGCACGGGAAAGGCGACAGAGAAGCAAAAACCAGAGGAAAGCAGCTTTTCACTGGCACCACGTTCGTGTAACAACCTCTGACAGAGGCTTTAAATTAAGATCCTCCGGGCCAACATTCTAAAGCCATAAATCAAACGGAAAGGGAGAGGAGAGTGGTGGGGGTGGGGGGGACAGCTTTTCCAGGGGCAGAGCGAATGATAACCTGACTTCACACTGTCGGGGAGCCTGCAACTGCAGAAATGTGGAGAGAAGCCATCTAGGAAGGTGGGGAGCCCGTGGTTTGGGGGCTGTCGGCAGACTTCCCAAAGCCCTTGAAGGCTGCTCTGAAATGTTTCCAACCAGCCCCCATAGAGGCTGCACCGAGTGGTGTGGAGAATAAAAACCATACAAGTGATAAAGCCTGCTAATTTGGAAAAATGGGGGCTAGCATGGAATTAGAGAGAAGGCTGAATGTAGGGCTTATTGCTTGTTTGCTTATTACTTTATGACAGGCCCTGAGAATTCCAGGTGCCCCTCAAAGAAAGAGACTGGAGAGGTTTTTAACAAAATAGCTGTTTGTGAAGAGTACCCAGAGAATCTATCTTCCAACAGAGAGAAAATCTCCCTTAAAACCATCTTTATCCTAACAGTCAAAGCAAATATTCATTGCGTAGTACGTGCCAGGTGACAGACAAAGGGCCCTGCTTGCCTGATCTCCTTTGGTGTGAGGTGGGCACCCTTATTTTATGCCCAGTTTGCAGACAAAGATGCTGAGCTTTGGAGGGATTTGTACATTTTCCCAAGGGCACTCGGCCAGAGGGAAGTGGGCTGGGACCCCAGTGAAGGGCTTCAGACAGTCAAGCCTGTGTCTTGCTAAATTTTATACAGAGGTTGCTGGCCTCTAACCGGTTGCTCTGGGAGAAAAATACATTTATTTTCAGTGTGAAGTTCTTCCAGGCCAGTCGCTTTGCACACTACCCTGAATGTGCTGCATTCAAAGCTAGGTGTGTAAAACCACATTAACACAGCACAGCCTTTTCTGAACCTCTGATTGTTCTCAGCCTAAACATACTGCACATCTTGTACCCAAGGATTTTGGCCTCTTTGCTCTGGAACTGAAAACTTACCGCCAAATTCATCACGCACCTGCTATTACAGAGCAGCAAAATGAATACTATTAGCTCACAATCTATCTGAGTGTTTACCATGGGCCAGGCTTGGTACTGGGCACTTGACTTGTATTATCGCCCTTCAAACTCATCACAAGCCTCAAGACAGGTGTCACTATTACCCTCAGTGGGCAGAGAAGGACGCAGGAACACAGGCTGGCTGCATGGTTCCCTTAAGGTCACACAACCAGGAAGTGGCGGAGCTGGGATCCAGCCCAGGGAGGCTGCTCTGGGGCTATGTTCTCCACCCTTCTTCAATACCGTCTCTCACTGCCACACGCTAATCTGATTTTTATTCTAACCCATATTTTTCGTTTCCTTGGTGTGGCAGAGAGTTAGAAAATGGTTCCAGTGAATCGCACCTCCCTGTATCCATGCCCCTGTGCAGACCCCTCCACGCTGACTGATTTGCTTTGACCAACGGAACAGGGCAGGGGTGACAGTGTGTGACTTCCAGTCCTAGGCCTTAAGGGGCCTTGCAGTTTCAACTGTCACCTTCCTGGAAGCTGCCCTGAGGCCACCATGTAAGGAAGCTAGTCCAGCCCACTGGAAGATGAAAAGCATGTGGAAGAAAACCGGAGGGGCTCGGGCCATAGCCAGCACCAACAGGCCTGATGTGTGACCTTGGTCATGTCTGCCGCTCCCGCCCCAGGGGCCCTCCAGCCGGATGAGTCCAGGAGTGCGTTAAGACAGAGCCAGTCAAGGAGCCACGCAGCCGATCCACAGAAACATTCCTGTATCTGTTGCTGGAACATCTAGATCTGTAGGTTTCTAAGTACATCTCACCCTTCAGTCGATCAGTCACTGATAGATCAATCAATCAGTCCTTCTGTGCTTTTTCTAGAGGTCATGTGTATACGAATCAGTAGGTACCAAGGGGGCATAAACTCATTCTGTACCTGAGGACCCAGAAGCCAGCCCCATCCGTAGGGCCACTGGTACCCTCTGCCCTTTTCGGTCACCTCCCAAATGAACCTTAAAATTCACAACTCGTCAGTCTTCCCGGGTACCAAGAAGTCACCTTGCAGTACTGTAAGACAAAGGGTCTACTTCAAGGGTCTCTTCCTGATCCTCGGTGCAGAGAGGGAGCTCCCCAGAAGGAAACACCCACTGCTCTAGAACATTCTGTCTCTGCTTGATGAAATTCAGGGAAGGATGACAACATCAGAAGGTCTGGCCTGATGGTGAGGAGAAGGGCCAGGTCCATTGGCAGACACCTGAAAGGTGTAATAGGCAGCACAGAGGAGCAGTCAGGGCCGTCCAGGGGACATACATGACACATTCTCACACACTCACGTGCCCCACCCCCACAATCCTACCCCCCAGAAGCTACAGAGGAGAGGCCAGGTCCCCACCCAGCAATGGGTGCTCTGAGCCTCACTTACAAGCCTCTGACTGCCTGAGAGAAGAAATACAACAGAGCGGTATCCCGTGGAAGAAATGAGGACACGGTCTGGCCCTTGTCACCAGAAAACACACAGCCCTCTCTGTCACCACGTATACTAACACCACAGCAAAGCAGGCCTGAAGCAGGGAGGGAGTGGCCGGGAGGGGGACAGGACAGGGAGAGGGAAAGACAGAGCTGAGCCAGACAAACCTAAACTCTGTCTGCAGGCCCAGGGCAGGGTTCCTCGGGTTCCTCGCGTCCCGCCAAGACAGGGTAAGCACGGAGACCCGCTCTGTCTGCTGCGCCTGGCCCCTGCCCCCATGCTTCTCAG